AGCCCCTTCCACTCTGACCAATCTTCATTGGTTTTGTTGCAGAATTTTCAATTGTATGTTTAAAGAAAAAAACCGAAATATACAATATTATAGATATGGCTAACTATGTTGGGGACAAATGGGAAGTCCCTTTGGTATGCCAATCATACATATATAATAAGACCCAATCGATCTGCATGCAGTCAAACAATGCTGTAATAAGACCCAATTGATCAATATCCATCGCTAGCAAGTCTCTCATCCAGTATTCTTTTCCCCATGTACCTGCACCGTAAAAAAAATAATACATAAATACCATCCATTAGGCCTCAACATAATAACTCCATAACATAATTAGATTGAGTCTTAAGTAGTAGGGACTACTTTTTAAATGGTTAAAAGCGTTTTTTAACAACAAAAAGCACTTCTAATGACGTAACTTAAAAGTGCTTCTAGGTTTTTAATAAAAATCTCAATGTTCTTCTAATAGAAGCGACACTACTCGAAAAAGCACTTACAAGCAGAAATGCTTCGTTTAAAAGTAGTTTTAATCTGATTATGAACTGAAAAAAATTAAAATTAAAATTACCTTCCAAGCATCATTACGGTGGCTTGAGGATTGGTTCCGGGGGAGTAAATAAACGTCGAACCATCAATAACACGAAGAGCATCGATGCCAAGAACCTTGTACTGATCATCAACAACCCTCCCAACTTGGCAGCCTCCATGGTAGTGCCATATGGTCATCACAGTGTCCTTGCAAAACTGATCCAAAGACCTTGAGGCATTGGCATGCTTGGGCAACAAGTTAACTGGGCTGTTTGCTGTAATGTTGAGCAGAGCTGCTAAAGACAGATATCTGAATTTGGAGAAGGGCTTTGATTCAATTATTTTCTCTATGGTCTCAATGCCCTGGATACATCTCTCCAAGTCTAGGGGATCTTTGAAATAGTTGAATGTGACTGATGGGTTGTCGTTCGGGTTTCGGGTTCGGAGCTCCAAATGGCCCGTGGAAATTGGGCCCATGACTTTCTCGAGAATGAACCCTCCCGTGAAGGCTGGGGCTTCAAGACTGTTCATATATTCCACTGCCTTGGCTAGGGCTTCTGGGGTCCTTTGCTTTGGTGGCACTGTTGACAGCTGTCCAATCTGCCAAACATGGGCAAAAAAAATTATCCACAACTATAAGAATTTTTATTATTATTTATTAATACACCCAAAATCTTATCAACACTACTCAACATCCAATTATGCTTTTATTGAAAATTAAAATATAATCCAAAAGAAAGGGAGTCTGCGACCTGATCAGGGATACCCCAACCTCAAGGACAAGAATGCAACATGGGTGTAATTCAGGGACCATTACTACAATTTAGTTTTTATTTTATTTTCAATCAATACAACTAGGGGTAAAATTGGAACTAAAAATTAGGAGTTGGGTGTGCTGATCAAATTTTTCTGTATATGAATGAGAGAGAACTTGGGCTTGGCATGGCCCAATTGAATTGAGAATTGATATTATTACCTTGGGAGAGAACATTCCAAAGTCTCTGGTTGCAGAAGAGCCAGCGAAGTTTTCACCACTGGCAGCTTCAATGTAGCTGCCAAAGTGGGTGATGCCAACCACTTGGATGAGTGACACCTCGACGGGTATGGGTGAGGGCACGAAAATTGCGTTCATCGGATTGTCAGACATGCCTTGCCCAACCAAGGGCTGATCCACCACCACTGTGATGTTGTGGGCCCTGAGGTGCTCTGCTGGGCCCACCCCACTCAACATCAGAAGCTGTGGGCTCCCAAGTGCCCCAGATGATACAATGATCTCGTTTCTAGGCCCACTCTTGAGGTAAGCTCTGTGCTTGTTCCCTGATGCATCTCTAAACACCACCCCATGGGCCAACGGCCTTGATTTTCCTGTTCAATATTAGACATACAAATCTAAAACCGTAATTTGCAGGAATGATGAGGTTCTTGGTAAGCAGTATCCTTTATCATTTTCCTAAAAATGGAGAAAATTAACATGATAAATAAAAGAAGGGAAAATAGGCACAAACCCTTTGTTCTAAAGAGGATCTTGTGGACAGTGGCATGCAAGAGCACAGTAAGTCCTGTGGGGTTAGCGTACTGTAATAAATCTGCGGCAGTGTGTCTATGTCCCTCGAGATCAAATATGGTCCCTCCAACTTTGGTCCCGTAGATATGGTCATAAGTGAACCCGTTGTAGGGCAACACCCCGACTTGCACCAGACCATCACGCACAGCTGACTGCCACGCCTGCATTGGTGGCTGAAACGCCACGAGCCGCTCCACCCATTGGTATGATTCGTTTACTAACCGCGTATCCCATCCTGCTTCCCTGAAAATGGAAAACATAATTCTTAATCGTTCGTTATATTAGAGTTCATGTGAATATGTCAATGTTGAAGATTGTAATAAACTTTCTTGCCATTTGTGTCTTTGCAATGAGCACATCAGAGATGTTATCTCTGTACCCAATTGTGTCTTGGTTGGCCAATTCTAGTAGTTTATTTTTCAAAAATTTTGTAACTTTTTTTTAAGAATACAGGATAATCAGAATAACAAAATGTAAGAATTATGAAATTATAGTAGAATTACGGTACATAATTAAAGAAACCAAAAAGACAAGAATGGGCATCGATCTTAGTTAAATGAAGTATGTGTGAGCACACAATTAATTTCCTTTTCCTATTAATACTAAGGGCATAACAATAAACAATGTGTCAAGAAGACAAGTGAATATCATATATGTACATAGACATCATAAATTATACGTATATTTATACCTGGCGTAGTCAGTGGCAGCCCGTGAGTAAAAACCGGCATTGAGGCAGCTTCCGCCACCTAACACGCGGGCCCGGGCGTTAATGACACCGTCCTCAGAGATGAAGCGCTGGGAAGGGGAGGTGGGGGAGAGGTCAGAGAGTGCACGGCCAAAGGCTGACAAATTAGTAATGTTGGGGTTGCCATACGGTGCGCCGCCTCGTTCAAGTAGCAAAACGCTGTAGTTTTGGGATAGAGTGGCGGCCAAGGGGCAGCCGGCAGTGCCACCACCCACTATAATGTAGTCATAGTATGATATGTCCGGAGCTGTGGTTGCATTGTGCATGAAGCTGAAGTCTGGAGCTGTAATTACAGAGAATAAAGATTATTTACCTACCTTATAAAATAGTGTTACATATTTGGCTCTTTTACTAGTGGAGCTAGCTCAGCTAGGGGTCAATTTTATCATTTTTTACTAGTGTATTTATTTAAAATATTTTTGTTTACTGTTCATAAAATACAGGTTTTTTTAAAGCAAATATATTATTCTTGTATTTATACACGTAAGTATGTACACATTTTCTCGAATATTTTGTAACAGCACACGTATTATATTCGAATTATATGTATTGTACTTGTTTTGTATTTTACTAACTATACTCATTATATTCCACAAACAATTAATGCCAACTTTTTTAGGTACCCGCTTTTATTTCTGCTCAGTATGTGCAGATGGATCAGGTAGGGAGGGACTCATTGTTGTAGAACAACAACTGCAGAATCCATGGATCTCTATTATCACAGTCATCACAAACACAGAGATCATTGCTTTCATTTCATGCAATTACAAGACTCTTAATTAACTAATGAATTTCACAATATTCACAAATAATTAATAAGAAATAAAAATAATAAACTGGTATACCTCTTTCAGCTCCACAAAAGCCATGAAAGAAGAGAATCCCAACGAGGGCAGCACCAAACAATTTCCACCACCCAAAACCCATTATGTATAATGTAATATATCCCACTTTCAAAACAACTCCTACCCAAAGAGCTTTTGTGTGTTTATGTAAATGGGCTTGCTTGCTTTGCTCTACAAACCTTAAGCAGTTCCTTATATATATATATACACTACAAGTTTCAGGGCTCAACGATCTCAGCAGCGGTAAGTACTGAAAGAAGCTCACAAACCCAATGATGTGCAGAGAAAACGGAGGAGATCAAAAAAAGATTCAAGAAAATGCACAAGATTGTGATATAGGAGCTAGAAATTAGCTCGGTCAATTTATAGACCCAAAAACTCGAAAGAGAAAAAAATGTGAGCAATGTGGTAACACTGGGTGTTGAAATTTGGGCTAGAAATTTGGACCAGTGTCTGCTTGCTTTCAGCGAAATGTACTATTTGCTGAGATGTAGAGTGTTTTGGGGGGGGGGGAGAGAGAGAGAGAGTAGAAACGGGGAGGGAGGAGGGCAGTTGGGTTTTGTTTAATTGCACCAAACAACTGCTGGTGGACTCAATTCTGGGGCCTTTTTGAACTGAAGTGTTGCATTCAATAGACGGCAAAAGAAAACGCTAGAAAGCTACAGATCAAGAGGGTCCAGCCACAAACGGAAACAGCATGGTGCCCAAGGTTAAAAGCCAACTACATTTAACAGGGGCCAAAAGCAAAACACTGCTAGTGCCAAAGATAAAACAGCTAAAGGAGTTACATGAGCATTGTAGTTTTCAATTTTGTCAATTTTATCCTTGTAGTTTTCAATTTGAAGCAATTCAAAGACATATTTCAATTTCTGTCAAAATTCCTCTCAATTTTGTTAAGTTTTGACCACACGTCACTCACGTAGCTGGGTATTTTAGTTAACTCGAGTCAAATTTCTCCCAAATTCCATCCAATTTGCCCTAATTTCAACCCAAAAATGTAAATTATTTTGAAACCCTAAGCCCCAAAATCGTGCCTAAAGTGAATGGGAAGAGCTCCAAGTTGTGTTTTATTGTTATATGGCTCGAGTGAACCTCCACATGAGGGGCACATGATCAAAACTAAATGAAATTTGGAGGAATTTGACATAAATTGAAAAATATATTTGAATTGCTCAAAATTGAAAACTACAAGGATAAAATTGACAAAATTGAAACTACATGAATCAAAGTGCTAAAACAGACAAACTATAGAGACCAAAAGTAAACTTTTGCATTTTCTAACTTTTGCCTTTTCTTATATGGTACAAGTGATAGTCTAAACAAAGGAGAAGAGAGGTTTCTCACACACAAACATAACTAAGACGCCATGAGGTTCGACCTGAGATCTTTAGTCTGCAAGTCAAGACCCTTTTCACTAGATTAGACCATATTGGCGCAACTAGCTCATTTTTGTGTTAATGTTTGGGAGCACTTTGAAAACAATGATAGTGCCATTTTTAATTTCGCCGATATTTTAGTTAACATCATTACTTAATTAATTCATTGTCTATATACTATAACTTTTATCGACCGACCTCCTATTTTCATAAGATTGGAAAGCAAAAGTAGCAGTCGCAGTTGCAATCACTGTGGAATGACTTCAAATGCCAGAGTGGCTTTTTGAAGATGATCAAATAAAATTGAGAGGGATCATGGGGACTTATTAGCCTGACAAAGAAGTTGAACTACTACTTGTACACAAGTAGTTGAATCTTAATGTCTCATTTAAGAGTTTAGAACTACAACATATTGGTACAATCGACTAAGGAATTGACTGACCCAGTCGCATAGACACCGGCAGGTGAAGCTTAAATGAAAGAAAAATATGACCATAGAGAGCGATGAACTCATCTGACGCCTGGGCAGGTGGATTCGCTCCTACCACCACCCTACCTTAACAAAAGCTAAGTCGCATACTGAATTACTGCTTCGCTGCCTGTGGAATGGAACCCCGTACCCCACTTTCACTAGTACATTGCTTATAATGATTAATCATTTAAAAATAATTAGATTTGACTCCAAAACATCGGTTTTGGAGTTTATTAAAGAAAAAAAGAGAATCCAACATTTGCTTTATGTAAACAAACATAGTACTAACATGCACACCAATTGGTATAGTCCAGTTACAAATGATTTTGATTTACAAACCATCAGTCTCATATTCGAATCACTATGACATCTTGGTAATGTGTGCGTGAGAAACCATCTCATGTATCGCTTGTATTTAGTAAGTGAGAGCTTCCACTTACTAACATTTTTTGGACTAGTTTTCTTCTCGACTCTTCTTCTCCTCCCAACCCAAAGCCTACACAGATATGCATTTCTCCTTGGTTCCAGGGGACCCCCTTCGGTTAATAATCCGGGCCTCTCTCCTCACCATTATGTTGTGAAGAGGTTTTCCCTCCCAACTTTTGTTGGGTTTTGTTTGCTCCTTGCTATTGCAAGGGTTTATTTCTTCCCTCTATTCTTGAGGGTTTGTTTCCCAGTCTTTTGGGGCTGGTTTTTGGCTGATCTTGCTAGGTTTGCTACTTGTGTGGTAGATCTAGTGTCGATCTCTCTGTTTTGGAGGTGGAGCTACTGATTTTGGTGGATCTACTTTTATTGTGCTTGGGGATTAAGGGGGATTAGGAGATGCTGTGATATTCTTTGGAATATCCTGGTGGAAGTTCAGCGGTAATGCCCTCCACTCTTGGGGTATTTTCTGTCCCATGAAGTTTGAGAGTTTGTTCTCTATCTTTATTTCTCTTAAGCACTGGTTGTTGCAGAAATAGGATCCTCATCATCTGTAACTCCTTGTTAGTTGGGTTTAAAGTTGTATATTTTTTTTCTATCTTGTAATACTTGAGCTTAGTTGGTGTTGTTGTTACAATCTGTATTGCAAGAACCTCCTTCCAGAGCTGTGTTCTTATTGATGTAATATGGGTTTGTGCCCTATTTCTTCAATTGAATTGCTACTGTTTCACCAAAAAAAAATATAGATATATATATATTTTTTTGAAGTGCACATTTGCCACCGTTGAAAGGATATGGACCATATAAAACCGTCTCCAATGGAGGTGTAAACATGAAGTAGGTGGATATTTAATAACCACATTTTTTCTTGGTTAATTTATGCCGAAAAAAAGCAGATCATGTGGTGATTTGTTAAACATCCATCTGTCTACAAATGAAATCATGCTTGCATAAACAGAGATTTTTATACAAGAGTTTTCCGAAACAGAAGGAAGAAGACTTTAAATGTCGAGAGCCCTAAGAAGAATTTTTATCTTCTTTTTTTTTTTTTGGGTTTTTAAAGGGTTATTTTTAGTTAATTGGGTAGGTTTGGAGCGATTGACAAGAACACATAATTGCATCATCGTCAAAGGACCCCACATGCATACCATATTTTCCGGTGATTTATTAGCAGTGTTCACTTTGGATGAGCGACAAAGAAGAAAAGAAAGTCCATTTTTTTCGATGGCTCTTTTCTTCTTTTTCTTTTTCAAACATCCCTTCGAGAGAATCTTATATGAATCTTATAATATAATAGACTCTCACCACGTGTGTGTGAGAATTATTCTCATTTTTAAGATGAAAATGGCAATAAAAGGGTAAATAATTCCTATGGGAATACTTTATACATTTACTCTTCATCTTTTTGTGGCTGAACCAATCATGGCCTAAAAATGTTGTACCAAGTTGATATTTTAAAAAAAAAATGGGATCACCAGGAGAAGATTCTTCAATCATTTTTCATTGGTAACCCTTTTCTTTCCTAATTAAGCATTTGCCCTTTCAGACCCAAAATAAATAAATTAAATTCCCTTAAAATAGTTTCTATTACATCCTGTAAGCATTTCACGTGATTGCAAGTATAAAAATGGGGGAAGCGAGTACAGTAGGACACAATTGGGTTTTATAGAAATTGGAGACCATAAACAATGACCTAGTTTTCTATCAATATACACGCGGCTGAAATATAATAACACTTCGACGAAAAAATTGAGGGGGTTTTGAATTGGGAAGAGATTGGGCATTTTTCTGATGCCAATAAAGATGAATCAATAGAGAGTGTTGTATGTAAAGCAGGTGGCAATAATGGAAATAACGCAAATGAAGAGGGAAGGAAGTAGGGTGACATTCAGGAGCTTACTCTCCCCCAAGTATCCAGCCAGAGTTATGGTGGCATCTGCAACTACTCGAGCGAGCGTCCCGGCTTCTGTTGAAAGTAATCCACCATTGTAAGTTCCGCGGGAAAGCCTCGATGACATGACCCTAGAGAGAAGTGACAAGTTGACCCCTGCATAAACGATGGTTGCACATATGAGTGTATGAGAGAGGACTTCTTATGTGCTGCATAAACCATTTTGGAAAAAAGATTTACTGACGAAATTTAGTGCATTTGATATTACTTTACATGTTCTAAGGAGTTTTCAGAAAGAATGGTTCTTCGTGAAGTCGTACTGTATGCGAATCTCAAAGAAAAGGGGCACAATTAATCCCTTAAAAGGCGAGCATAAGGGGATATTGTCTGATAGTAAGACAACAGCTGAATTTTATTACTACTAAAATCATGAAGGTTTTAGGCAATACTTCTCCAAGTGAGAACAGAAGAATTGTATGTGTGACTCCTGCTACATTAAGACAACAGCTGAATTTTATTACTACTAAAATCATGAAGGTTTTAGGCAATACTTCTCCAAGTGAGAACAGAAGAATTGTATGTGTGACTCCTGCTACATTATAAACGTTATTCTTCAATTGCTAAGAGCTCGTTTAGTAATATCTCTGTTTTCTGTTTTCCATTTTTCGTTTAAATTCAAAAAAACAAATATAGGGAGACAGAGAAGAGGAGGAGAGAAATTAGAAAGGTGAGGAAGAGAGGAGGAATTTTAAACTAAAACGTTAACAAAAAACATCATTGTTCGGAGTTTTATCTTTTATGTAGCATTTCCCTTCATTTCTATAAACCAAAAAGTAATTGAATTGAATAAAAATATATCACCTTCCAGTACTTCGGCTGAAACAAACATGATGAGCCCTGAGCTGACATATTGTACCACAGAGTATGGATTAAACATATGGAAGCTCATAACTATGCCTATGCAAACCACTATTTCAGATGCTAATAAAATTTGCCTGCAGTCAGGTCAACAAGAACAAATCCATCAGTGAGCAGGACAAATATTTATGGAACTTTCAACTAGCAACTATAAAAGAGCACTGTACGTAAAGAAAGATTGAAGGTATTCTTCCTGTGAAAAATTACCTGTCTTCAAACATGTTGCTGATGTAGCTCCCAACAAGAATATTTACCGGAAGAACGGTTAGCCCAAGACAGAAAAGAAAAATTGCGACTTTGCTAGTATTCCAGCTAAAGTAGTATGTGGTAATAACACTAGATTCTGAAAGTAAAATCTCCATTGCATACTTGAGCATGAA